TTAACACAATTAAACTTATAGCTTGCTTATTCGCAACTCACTTCTCCCTCACTTTACTTGTAGCTTGATTACTTGTAACTAACTCTCTTCGCTGTGGCGGCGCCCTTATATACCTGCGCTGGCACTTATGGCAACTCTAGAACATTCTGAAGTTTATCGCTCACTCTCTTTCTCTCGCTGTTCGCAGTGTTCATCCAACTTGACGTTTCTCTTTGTGGAACATTCTACGTCATTCCTCGAACATTCTGCCTATTTCTCGTTGTTCGCTTTGTGTTGCCGCAGTATTCGCCATACTGCCCTCCACCTAAGTCTGATCGTCCCGATCAGACACACTTGCCGCTCCAACCGCTGCAAGTATTTCCAAGTGGACCACTTTCATCTTGGTCCTCGGTCTCCCCATTGTCTGGATTCGATGCACTGCGTCTTTCAGCCGTTTGTCAATCTTAAACGGATCTTTCCAGTTACGATGTTCGGAGGTGAAGCCTTTCTTCGGCTGCGGCATATGCAACAACACCAAATCGCCTTCCTGTAGCTCCTCTCGGCTCGATGCGTTACTGGACATTGCTTCCAGCTTATCTCCGGTGGTGCACCATCTCACATGGTCGTGCTTCTGCCGGCCACTGGTGGTGACCAGACCATGTCTCCTCTCGTGGCCACCCTTTTTGCTAGATCTATGCCCCATCCTCTGTCCATAACACCCAGGCTCCTTTCTTCGTGCTGCACTGCCTTTAGCACATCTTGCTGCATCCGGATCCTTACGCTGAAACTTCCGCCGCCGTTTCGTATCTCGCTCTTCCGCCGATGCTAACTTCATTGACCGGACATGTATAATCTCAACCTTGGCTTCCGGCTTAACTGCTCGCCTTTGCCGACCACCTTTTTCGGGACACTTCAAAGCGCGCCTACTGCTTCCACAGCCGCTTCGATTTCCGGCCACCGGATTATCACCATTGCAACGTGGTTTAGCGGCTTTCCTCCTGCCGGAAACACTGCCTGGCTTACCATGACCACTTCCTTGCTGCGACCCCTTCTTCACTGAGCTGGCGCTTTTCCTGTATCGGTGAACCGCTACCTTCTCCTGACGAAACCATCCCGTCTCCATCCCTGCCAACCTCCGCCCAACTAACCGCTTCCGTTTCTGGTGGAATTTTCGACACTTCCTCTAAGACTAACCGTCTGCTGCAGTACTGGCTGTCGTAACCAACCCTAAGTGGCACTTTCCTGTGACGATCTGTCAGGATCATTCTCTAGAGGTCAATCTTCATGCCTTGGCCAAGTAAGAAATCCACGCCGATG